ACGGCGAATGATCGAGTTCTTTTTCATTCGCTCCGAAAAGAGGATAGAGAAACTATTGTATTCTCTCGCGCTCAACGCGCTGCGAGAAAAGGAAAGAGATACTCTCTCGCTCTCGATGCGCTATACGATATACGATGTTCGAGCGTTTCTATGTTTTTTGTCAAATAATCAATCAAATGAAAAAAAAGAGAAAAGTAAAACGTAAAATTGATTATTTCGTTACTCGTGCAACAAATTTATCGAATTTATAATTAATTAATTTATACTTATTTAATTACTTAAAACATAGCAAACTTTGAATTTTTAAAAGAATAACGGAAAATATATCATAAAATAATTTCATACATTCTCATATATTACATAATTTAAAATTTTTATAGTAAAGTTATATAAAGTTATATAACGTTTATAATAAATATTATATGTAAAGTACAATGATCATATGTAACAATTTCCATTTTTGTTCACATTATCAATTTCTGCTTACTCTTTGTTGGTAACTAAATAATAAATTTATTTTGTAACCGTTGCTCCGAATTGTGAGTAAACTCGACATGTATTACTAATCGATATATTTGCGAGCGAGATAACAAATAAGAGACTACGACGTGTCGTTTGCTTATTAAGATAATATTTGATACTGTATAAATAGATAAGCGTGCGAAAAGACAAGGAGTCAAAATCAAGCAAGCGAACTGAGCAAATTGTAGTAATACGCAGAATAAAGAATTTAGTTGGAGAAACGATTCGATTATCTATTATAAACCCGTACATGATCCTTCGAGCCGGATTGATAATAAGGCAATCAACAATTACGATTAACGATTAAGCAACTGCGAAGATGAGCAACGATTGAGCAACTGCGCAAGAATTATGTCGCCAACGAGGATATATCAAGGCAAAACAAACACATATTTGGAAGTTTGTGGAAAACGTGGCAAACCAGAGGACATCGCCGAGCATCGAAATGGTCACAAAAATATATATATTATAAATATATATAATATAAATATATATATTCAAAAAAATTAGAGCAAGTGTACAAGGAATTCAACGAAATACAGCGGCAATTAGTATGCGTTATGGAGGAGAATGAGCTGTCAATTGAAAATCAACGAGAAGACGATGTATTTGAAGAACGATACGTAGAATTGAGTGCAATGCTGTCGAGATGGGCTGCTGCAATTAAACTGACTGTAAATACAACTAACGGTGGCGATTCACTTGCACAAGTAATAGAGCAGCAGACAGAAGTAATTAAAGCATTAAGTTCAAATAGTTCACAAATCGATACCAGAGTCAAATTGCCAGTAATCAATTTGCCAATTTTTTCGGGAAAAATAGAGGACTGGTTTTCTGATATCTTTACTGCATTAATTCATAACAGCGATTTATCAGCAATTCAAAAGCTGCAATATTTGGTCGGTACACTGACGGGAAGCGCAGCAAAAATCATCGAATCAATCGAGATTTCAGCACAGAACTACGAGGTGACCTGGAAAGAAACCTTCTAAGAAATCGTTACGAAGATAAGAAAGCTTTAAAACAAAGGCACCTTCAATGTTTATTTGAGGCACCTAAGATCGAGTGAGAATTAGCCGTCGATATTCAAGAATTAATAAATCATTTTCAAAAACATCTTCGAATTGTAAAATTCATGGAGTTCACAAATGAAGCATAGCGGATTCTTTGATATTATATATGATGGAGGAGAAGCTGGACAGAGTTTACTCGGCGCTGGGAAGAGAATATGGAAGGTCGACAAACTGTTACAATCGATTTATTATTTGAATTTTTACAGCAACGTGTGCAAATGCTTGATCGACTGGGCAGTGCATTCCAAAGAGAGAAATCGAACTGTAGAGGAGTGGCAGCAAACTCCAGACGAGACAATGAAACCCCGAGATCATTAGGGAGAAGTGAAAATTCGAGAGCCGCTGAGAGAAACGAGCCGTCAAGAAATCGTCTGCGAGGAGGAAGCGAGGCAAGAACATTTAGAAAGAATCAACTGTAAGTCTAGCCGTGTCAACAGTCGTTGGGCGCTGTTTTATATGTGGCGGTCCTCATTTGATATATTCGTGTGAAAGATTTTTAAATCTATCTGTGCGAGAAAGAATTGACGAAGCGATTGAAGCTTTGTTTTAATTGTTTACGAAACGACCATTTTGTTAGCGCTTGTAGGGCGAGTTCCTGTCGACAGTGCGTAAGGAGGCATAATACATTGTGTCATACAGAACAAGAAGAGCCTCAAGTAGACAGGGTTACTCCAAACGTTGAAGTGGTTAACAGAGAAGGTCGCAAAAACAAAAAAGCAAACGTTAATTTGTCCGTACATCAAAACGATCACAACGAAACGCGCGGAATTTGGCCAAATCTCAACGGCTATAGTATACATAAAAGACTCGAACATGTTCGATCAATCTATTTGCGTTCTTCTTTCTGATAGTGCGAGCGAAGCGAATTTTATAACAAGAGCAACCTGTACTAAATGTAAAATTAGAAAACATTCACGAAGCAGTCTCAGGCATTGGTAGTTCGATTTGTACGATAAATCACGGATATCAAGTAACGATAAAATCAAGAATAAGTATACGACTTATTTATTATCCACTTATTTATTATCTGCATTTTGTTTGCCGAGGATTACTAGAGAACTGCCTTCAGTTGCAATCAATAGTGATGTTTTTTCAATAACCGACACATTAAAATTATCCGATCCACAATACTATCGTTAGATTGACATGCTGTTGAGCAGCGAATTCTTTTTAAATTTATTAGAACCTGCGAAGGTTGAGCTCGGAAATAATTTGCCTACATTACAGAATACAAATTCGGATTATTTCAGGTCGAATTCCAGCACAATGCATAAAAAGAGAAAGAATTAATCAAATCAATTGTTTAGTTACGCAAGGCTCTTTAAATAAATCTTTAGTTAAATTTTGGGAAATCAGATTCGAGTCGCGATAATGCAATTTTATCGAGTGAAGTACGGGCATGCGAAGAAATATTTAAAGGCACTTATACTCGAGACACAGAGGGCAGAATTGTTGTGCGATTGTTTTTCCGAGACAATAAGTATAAGCTTGGCGAGTCGCGATCGATTGCGGAGAGAAGATTGCTCTATTTAGAACGTAAATTTTAAAGTAATAACATGTATCGGCAATTATATATAGAATTCATGCGAGAATATATAAGTCTAAGGCATATGACCATCGTTCCAAGAATTAAGAATGCTATGACAAGCAGGGCCGTTTATTTACCTCATCACAGCATTTATCGCGAGTCATCTGTTAGCACGAAGCTTCGCGTTATTTTTGACGCCTCATCTAAGACTAACTCAGGTTTATCTTTAAATGACACGTTAATGATGGATGCTACTTTGCAGGATCCACTAATTAACATTATTTTACGTTTTCGAGCGCATCCAATGGTAATTACAGCCGATACAAAAAATGTACCGACAAATCCTCGTCGATGAGAATGATAGGGATTATTAGCGAATTTTATGACGCTTTTCGCCAGAGCCAATCCAAGAATATCGACTAAACACGGTAACTTACGAACAATCTTGTGCACTATTTTTAACAATAAGAAGCGTTCGACAATTGATGAGTGAGGCTGAAAGTCAATATTCTCAAACATCATGAATCTTGTTTCAAGATTTATATGTTGATGATATTTTAACGGGAGTGGATAATGTTAATGAAGCGAATATTTTAATTAAAGAATTGACAGAATTATTAAAGCTCGGACAATTCAAAAACTTACATAAGTGGCGATCAAATTATAGCGAATTATTCCTTAAAACGAATAAGATTGACGATGAGACTGACTTTCAGATTATAACTGATGAGCGAGATGTAACGAAAACATTAGGTATTCGATGGCAACCGAGCAGTGAATTGGCAATGAATTGCGATTCGAGTCTCAATTTACGCATAATGCGAAGTCAAAATGAAACATATTGTCTGCTATTTCAAAGTTATTCAATCCGTTGGGATTGGCGAGTCTGATAATCATAAAAGTAAAATTAATAATGCAATTTTCGTGGTAAATGAGTTTTGATTGGGATGACGATTTATCGGCAGGTTTGCACCAGATATGGCTGGAGTATGTCCAAGATCTAAAGAAAATTCATATAACGCGAATACCGAGATAGGTTGTCGGCGTTCCGGTGATATCAATCTGCATGCATTTTGTGACGCATCAAAACGAGCTTATGGCACGTGTATTTATGTGCGAACAATTGATGATACAAATCGAGTTGCGTCGAGATTGTTATGCGCTAAGTCGCGCGCGGCGCCAGTTAAAAAATTAACCATCTCGCGATTGGAGTTATGCGGAGCCGTTTTGTTGGTCGATTTGATGCGGATTGTTCGTAAGTCGTTAATTATTAAAATTCATAAAATCTATGCGTGGAGCGATTCGTCAATTGTTCTTGTTCTTGTTCTTGGATCGCAGAGGAATCGAGTCAGAAAACATTTGTCTGTAATAGAGTCAGCAAAATCCAATCTATTCTGCCTAGCAGTCATTGGGGACATATTGCAAGTACAGAAAATCTCGGACTTAATCTCTCGAGGCATTAATTTTGACAATTTTCATAGCAATTCATTGTGGTGGATGAATCCACCGTGACTTTCGGAATTCACAGATCCATAGACAAGGGTGAACTTTCCGATCAGGAATTTAACATCATACAATCGGAAGAAAAGGGAAATATGCGAGTTTTTGTTGCTCGAGTTAATTCCGAGTCAATAATCGAAACAATGTTTTCTAAATTTTCATCATTAACTAAAATTGAAAGAGTACTTGCTTGGTGTTATCGATTCATTACAAATTCTAGAGACAATTTCGAGAACCGCAATTTTGGTAATTTATCTGTAACTTACTGGACTTACATCTGTCGCAATTAAAATTAATTAAGCATGTTCAAAAACAATTTTTGCAAAAGAGTTGGATGATTTAACGATCGCGTGAATAAGAACAGCGCGCTTGCAGATATGAGTCCATTTTTAGATAACGACGGAATTCTCAAGGTGGGCGGCAGATTGCAGAGATCCGCTATTAATCATGACAAAAAATACCTGATTTTGCTGCCAGCAAGGTGTCGATTTGAATTGTTCTTTGAGCGAGAACATTGTTGTATGCTATATGCCGGTCTACAAGCTTTCTTCAATTCGGGAAAGATTTTGGCCTTTAACGGCCGTAATACTGCTCATAGAATAGTAAGGAAATGCATAACTTGTTTCAAGATTAAGCCAAAGTTGTCAGACCAAACAATGAGATCATTGCCACCTGATAGGGTTACCGCTTGTCAACGAGTATCTTCGATAGTGGGAATTGATTATGCTGACCCTATTGTTACAGTTGCGAATAAAGACCGAGGACAAAGAAGTCGCAAATCATATATTGCGTTGTTCATATGCTTTTCGACCAAAGCGATTCATTTAGAAGCAGTCAACGAGTTGATATCGAGTGCGTTCTTGGCTGCATTGCGCCGTTTTGTGAGCAGACGAGATTATCCGCAAAAAATTTATAGCGACAATATCACTAATTTCGTCAGCAAAAAGAGAGCTTGAGGAATTATGAGGGAGGGGGGGGGAATAAATTTCCATTCAATGCTTTGAGATGGCGCTTCACATGGGTGGTATTTGGGAAGCAGGAATAAAATCATGTAAATACCATTTAAAAAGAGTTGTCAGCGAAACGCGACTCGTTTTCGAGGAATTTATGACTATTTTAGCTCAAATTGAAGCTTGCTTAAATTCAAGACCGTTATGTCAATTGTCCTCTGATCCTAACGACTTATAGGCTTTGATGTCTGTATATTTTTTAATAGAGGGACCGCTTATTAATCTGCCAGATATCAATGTATTAGACGTCCCTATTAGACGTCCCTTAACAGACTTGACAGGCAATTGGCAATTGGCTCAGCGTATAACTTAACATTTTTGGAAGCGATTTTTGGAAGCGAGTGTCGAATACTTAACGTCATTGCAGGGCAAATGCAAATGGACGATCGAAAGAGAAAATCTAGCCGTTAATGATATAGTCTTAATTGTAAATGACAATATGCCACCCTTGCAGTGGAAATTTGACAGAATAATCGAACTTCATCCGGGAATTGATAAAAGAGTTCGCGTGTTAACTATTCAAATCGAAAATAATGTTATCAAGCGTCCAGTCACTAAAGTTTGTAAATTGCCTATCGATGAAAAATAAAATTAATCGGGATTTATTGGTGGGCGGGATGTTGGTGACTAAATAATAAATTTAATTTGTAACCGTTTCTCCGAATTGTGAGCGAACTCGACATGTATTACTAATCGATATATTTGCCAGCGAGATAACAAATAAGAGACCATGACGTGTCATTTGCTTATTAGGTAGGATAATATTTGATACTGTATAAATAGACAAACGTGCGAAAAGACAAGGAGTCAAGATTAAGTAAGCGAACTGAGTAAATTGTAGTAATACGCAGAATAAAGAATTTAGTTGGAGAAACAATTCGATTATCTATTACAAGCCCGTACACTCTTTACCATTTCTCTTTTTATATGCTATATGTCAACAATAATCAGCGGTAAGAATGTAGAGACGCACATCGCATATCGTATAGCGCATCAAGGGCGAGAGAGTACAATATAGTATCTCTTTCCTTTTCTCGCAGCGCGTCGAACGCGAGAGAATACAATAGTTTCTCTATTCTCTTCTCGGAGCGAATAAAAATGAATTCGATCATTCGTCGTCCTGTTTGATAATTTTACAAATTTTAAAATCATGGCAACAGTGCATTCAGAAATCGGCGCTGTATATACATGTAAAGACCGAAAGTGTGAAGCAATGCGAAGTACACACATAAAACATGAGGCACGTATATGTGCACCCAGCGTTTTGACTTCAGGGTAGAAGAAAATAGAGATAGCGTACTCTGTCGCGCTCGACGCGCCGAGAACGACGAGAAGAGAACAGAAATATTATCGTACTCTTTCGCCCTCGATGCGATAATCGAGCATTTCGGACATATCTTGGTTATCGCTGACAATTGTTGATATGCGAATGAATTGAAAAAAGTGAGCAGATATTAATGTGAACGAAAACGGAAATTGTTACATATCATTGTATTTTACATATAATATTCAATATAATAAGCTGTTATATAATTTGTTATATAATTTATTAATAGCTGTTATATAATTTTATTTATAAAAATTTTAAATAATACAATGAAAATATATATAAAATTATTTTACAATATATCTTTCAAAATTTCCTTAAAAACTCAAAGTTTCTTATGAGTAATATGTGGATTGTTATGGGGCATCAAAACAAACCCCCACTTTTCCACTGGCGCCAGGGGTGTGGCCTCTAACTGTCAAGATAGGATCTTCACGTGGAAATGGAGCGTTCTGATTGACTGAGGGGCGTGCTGGCGAGGGGGTGGTCGGAGATCATTAGGTAATTAATGGGGCGTTCTGATTGGATTCTGCCATAGTTGCCCAGGCGTGTGATTGGATGACTTCCAAAGTTGTCCGGAGTGTGATTGGAAAAATGCTAGACGAAAAGGTAGAGGGAAGAGATGAATGTGTCTGGGACCGTTCAGGGTCCGACAAAATGGCGTGTGCAAAGATGACGGACATCTGAGGAGAATTTGTTCCGGGGCCTGGTCGGGGGTGCGATAAAATGATAACAAGAAGGATGACAGGGTGTTGAGGGGATATACCTGACCAGCGGAGAATAAAATGCGATGGGAAAACAGGAACGGACAAGTTCGCTTTAGATGTTTTAACGAGCTCGGAGTTATACGAAACTCTTATCCTATGACAAACGCAATGTCTGCAAAATATTTTAGATATTTCTAGCTTGAAATAATGTAGCTAGGATTAATTTTAGGTTGGAGGGAAAATAAGAGGACTAGAATTTAAGTTACAAAATCATTAAGTTTATTGTTATGTAATACATCATTGTACATATCATTTCATAATAGTGTTTTTTAATATTTAATTATTCTTAAAAGTACAAGTTTGTATATGACAACACGTTACATGAGATTTATCGCATTTACTTTTTCCATGAAGAAAGATTTTACGAAATAATTGTATTATTTCGATTAATTTATCATTATCTTCGTAATCCTCGCTGAATGTTTCCAGAAATTGTTTAAAATTATAACCACGGGACAAATAATAAAGAAATACGCAGCAATATTGTCCGCAAGTTTGAGAAAATGTGCCCTGTAGTCGCATGATGTTCCATCTATGGGTAATAGAGTTTCGTTGAAGTCGGATTGAATCTGGAATCTGGAATCAAGAGAGTTAGTCCGTAGCTATCGAAATAGGTGCCTTCTCCATGCTTGTCTATGTAGAAGGCAACTCAGTGTTATCCAGGGCGAAACATCCTTTTTTTCATGTGCGAGTTTCGATAGCTCACACCATCGAGATTCTGTCGGCAGGATACACATGTCCGACATGAGATGATGCCCATAAGATTTCGAGCAAATTCATCTCTCATAGAAAGGGGAGATGTTTCAGTTATTTCCTCCCTCTCGGGTATCGCTATATTTTTATCCTCTTGCTTGGATTTTACGGTAAAAGCCTCCTTTTTTTCATGTGCAAGTTTCGATAGCTCTTCTTTCTCTGCTTTCATTTGTTCGCATTCCGCTTGTTCTGTTTCCAATCTCTTACTTCTTCATGTAAGGAGATTCAGAAAATTTCGTTTCATAAAAACTCCGCTTTCTGTATTGGAGTCATTGAAGCTTTCATCGGTAAAAGAATTATCATTGCTCGAGTCACAGCTGTCTTCTTGCAATTGCATCCAGTACCTCATTTTGCATGCATTGCATAACACGCAACGAAATTTGTTAGAATTTCGATGAAATCCATGATGAGCGCAGCGTTTCATACTCCTTGTCACTAGGTTTTTGAATGCGGAAGAGATTTCTTCTAGATTATATGTTTCTGCCGAGCGTCTTTTGCAAATAAAATACTTTCTCGCGCCTCTGCTATATATGTAACGCACCCATCGTACACTTTCACGTAGTTCCACCATGAAATGTTCGGAAACGGCTGTTCCATCAATCCATTCGACCGTGGAAGTTTTGCGAGAGCCAGTTGTTTTCTTTTCTCGATTTTTCAGGGTAATTCGGTGAACGGATATGGTGGCATCACAATCCAATGATCTACAAAAGCCTCGTTAATCCCGACGAGCGCAACTTTCTTCATAAACTTTCCCTCGATGTCATGGAAATCTTGTATATCGATGATTATATCTATGATGTAGAATATGCTTTTTACGCCAAAGCGGCGTAGTTCGTGTGTCGAGTAAAGCTGAAGCTGTTTTCCGTTATAATTCGAGTAAATATAAGAAGTGACCACAGTGGGGGAGGGGGGGGTGAGGTTTCTCTTACCCACCATTGTCCTTATCCGCTAAAATCTACAATGATAATGATGCGAAGAGTTGATTTCCATTACGTTTTCGAACTCTGCGTAAAGGATACAATTAATCGTTGTTGTAATCGCCTTTTTGCTGGAATCATACCTCTAATTATAAACTTCCATGTCTGACAAGATTTCAATGTCCTGCGCAATTTGCTGATAAATCGGGAGTAAGATCGAAAGCGAATCTATCGGCATAATCTTCTCTGCTTATGGAATTCCCCTCGTTTAGAAAATGGATGCCAGTTCCCAAGAAGAGAGTGTTATAAGCCTCGAGGTAGAGTAGCTCATTTTTTGAAAAATTTGGTTGCAGCGGTCTGCTCGGAATTTGCACGCATCGGCATATAACGAGAAAAAATTTATACCATAATTTTTAAATTAAATGGATTTAGCTTTCTATCGCCGTTAAACGCTTTGTTATCGACGAATCCGACTACGCGTTTCAGAAATTGGCCGAGTATCGCGTTATCAATCGATTCTCCTACCACTCTTGCGTGAATTGTGAACATTTTAACTTCGACTCGTGTTAGAAGATTCTTGATGGTTGTTTTACTCAATATTCTCGCATGATCGCCTAACACTCCGGAGCTTATTTTGCTCTTCTTATGAGTAGCATTTAGAATACATATTTTCGACGTTGGCTTCCATGACACAAAACATGACACAAATCTCTCGAACGAGTCTCATTCTAATCTCTACCTTGTTAATTAAAAATGTATCCTGATTAAAGTCGCAATGAAGATGGCCTATTAGATCCAGTGAACGTCTTCTTGAACATATCGGACGCGTCTTACGAGAGCTTGATTTGAGATTCCCGATTCTAATAGCGCGTCCATATGACCGGGCTCGTCCGTGTTCCAGAGAGAAGAAGTCAGATGGGAAGTTTTTGCCGGTGAAGAATAATTTAACAATGCTTCGATATACGCGCGGTACGCGTAGGCGTTGTTCGGGAGTGACGAGTTTTTGATTGAAGTACACATCGATCTGGTTGAACATTGAATGTAGCAGATAATTTACAGGGCCTATTTTGTTTCCTCCTGCCGCTGTTCCAGGGCCGGGTAAACTTTCCATTCATACGCGAGATTTAGCATGGTATGCGTGAGATAATCTTCTCTGTGTCCGGGTATGACGAATTCTATAGG